CAGGTATTCTGCTACAGATCTCGCTATGAGAATGAGAGATTGAATATGGGAGAAAAGAGAGGTGAGGATTTGTTGTCAGCCTACTTCTTGGCCTGACTAGACAGAATGTTTTGTTAGCATGGGGTGTTTGATGGGGTTGGAAGCAGAGTCAAAGCAATGAGTTGGATGAAGGAGGTCAGAAGGGGAAGATCTGTGTTATTCAAAGTAAATGGGAACAGTTGGTCAGGGAAGGCTGCCACAGTTGTACTGCTACAGAGCAAGGGATGGAACTATAGTATTGGATCTGAGAAAACAGAGGGAGAAAAAAGGATCCGCAGGAATTCTTTCCCATGACTATTTATTTGTGGATTTATTTAAGGGAATTGTTTTTTTTAATATCCTTTTTCATTTTGTGTGTGTTTTCCTGCATTTCTTTAAAGATTATTCATTTCCTCTTTAAGAATCTCTATCATTTTCATACAGGTGGATTTGTTTTTTTTTATTGGGTTTTAGATATGTTTTACTATTCAGGGGCTGCTGTGATAGGATAGCTGGGCACTAGTGGAGGCATATTACCTTGGCTGTTATTGCCTCTTTATCCTGCCATCTAAGAATCTGGGATAGGAATGACTATAGTTCTAGATGCTGATTTCTTGGTTTGTCCTTGTCAGCTGTGATTTTACTCCCTGATTTCTGTTTCTTATGTAGATTTTCTGAGAGTGTGATGTCCGTGTGCCACTTGGTATTAACTTATCTTTGGACCTGATAGTTGTGCCTGCTTGGTTTTCCAGATAAATTATGTCTCTGGGTATTGGGAGCTGACTATTAGAAAGATGGATAGTATAGAGGTCTCAAGAGGTTCATATTATGGAGGAAAAACATATGGGTCATCAAGGATATGTTCATTTCTTCTCCTTGAATTGGAAGAAACAGTAAATAGAGATCATTTTAGTGGGTCTGCTATAGCATTGGGAATGAGACTGGTTGACTGGATCTAGAGGATCAGAAGAGTGGTAATATCTATATCTGCTTCCCTGGAGGAGTGTCCTCTGGGTTAGCAGGGAACGCTTGCTGAACTTTGGGACAGGGATAAAGCAACACTTTGGAAGAAGGAATATAATAGGCGAAAGTCTGTGGATCCATGGGAGAAGTGAATAGTCAGACAAAGAAGGCTTCAGTAGGTATTGTAATACAGAGGTAGTGATGAGACTGGGAGATTGAATTTGAAAAAGTAGAGAATTTGAAGGAGTTAGCTTGATTGTTTTCCTGGTCTCCTTAGCTGATGTGTGCACAGTGAATGCCTACTGGTGTTGGAGGCTGGGATACTGGGAAAAGTTTTGGAAAAAAATGCTGGAGGAGATCTTTGTTATCTGTTGAAGATAGGGCCACAGATACTCCAGAAGGTTTTCTGCTAGTATTGGTGCTGAGACTGGAAATGATTAGATCTGGAGGAACAGAGAAGAGATGTAGATCTGTCTTCAGCCAACAAGTTTCCCTGACTAGAGAGACCCTTTTGGTAATAGGGGTTGCCGGCTAATGTTGGGACTTTGAACAAAACAATAAGCTGCAGGAGAATAGAAGTGGAAGATCTATGGGATCCATAATAGATGGGAAGGGGGTGACAGGGTAGGCGTCACAGTTGTTTTGCTGCAGAAATGGGGATGACACAAAGAGTTTTTATTTGTGATCACAGAGCAAGCACAGAACTTTTTAATGGATTCTTCATAAGGAAAAATTCCTAATTTAAAAAAGTTAAAATGAATAGAGTATCTTTAATATATCAATGATTTAAGACAAATATGAACATACACATACATGATTATTGTATATTTCTTTTATTTCATAAAAGAGAAAAGTGAGTAAGTGCCAGGGAAGTTGTAGTACAGTCATATCAATTTGCTCAATGTAAAGCAACCTGTGATAAATAGCAATTAAGTTTCTCTGTTCTATTTTTTCTCATTTTAATTTTTTTATTAATTTTAATTTTTTATTGATCTATACATGTATATACTCTCCCATTCGCTTAACCCCTCTCTCTTTCTACCCTCTCCCATCACCCCCATGGTGGCAATTTACCCAGGAAATCTTGTCTTTTACTCCTTCCTATGGAGTTCTATGTGTGTCTATCTTAAAGACTTTTGTTTTCTAGGTTCTCTGGGGTTGTGGGCTATAGACTGTTATTTCTTTGTTTTATGTCTAAAAGTCACTGATGAGTGAGTAAATATTATATTTGTCTTTCTGGATCTGGGTTACTGTCGAGGACTGGCCATGACAAAAATATTTCTTACCAAGGTAGGGAAGTGGTAATTGAAGAAATATAAGTAAATAATATGAAGACAAAAAAATAAGACAGAAATTATAGAAATTATCAGGAAGGCATTCTAGTCACTCAATTCCTGAAATGTTGGAATCCTTGCATTTATTTTTCCATAGTTTTTATACTCAATGAAAATAGGGCGGGGGAGAATGTAACAAAAGATTTTATTACCATTATTTTTTCTTATTTATTTATTTATTTATTATAGATTTCTGCCTCCTACCGGCCACTGCCTCCCATTTCCCTCCACCTCCCCCAATCAAGTCCCCTTCCCTCATCAGCCCGAAGGGTTCCCTGCCCTGTGGGAAGTCCAAGGACATCCCACCTTCTTCCAGGTCTAGTAAGGTCTAGAGATGGCAAAATTAGAAGGTTTCAGTCTCCTGGATTATGTAGATGAGGTGGCAAAGGCCAACATTGGATCAATGGTTGACAATTGAGAAAGATGGACAAAGCAATCTTGTACCATTGGGAAACTCCTTGGGGGCCTCATGCAGGCCTCCATGTCAAAGATGTTTGAGTCTTTCACAGTCACTGTAGAGAAAATATCTCACCCATGAAATTAAAAATCTAGTGCCTGCTGTAAACAACCATACTGTTCTGGATGATAGACTAGACATGGAGGATGGATTAAAAATAACTCCAATAGGAAATAGGAAATGCATTTTTGGCAAACTTCTATCAATTAACAAAGACCAAATTAAAGAGTTCTTATAAATAGCATTGCAATTGAGGGATTACTGAACACAGGTGCAGATATGACTATTGTTACTCCAGAATCTCGGCATCCAAATTGATCTCTACAAGAGACACATGTTCAATTCCTAGGTATTGGAACCCTATATCTAGTGAAACAAAGCATGAGATGGGTTGAATGCATGGGGCCAGAAGTACAGTGAGAAAGGCTTAGGCCATATGTGGTTAATTTCACAGTGAATTTATGAGGACATGACCCCTTGAAGCAATTGAATGGCCAGATAAACATTAGTGCAGTCCCCAAAACTCATGTTTCTGGGATGAATGTTTTAAGTTGCTATCAGCAAAGGTCACCAGTGATTCAGGGAGTACCAGAACACAAAGCAACTAGCAAACCTTTAGAGATACCAATGGCTCTCCCTTTAAAATCATTACATGAGAAACGAGGAAGGATCTTAATCTGCATCCATCTTGGAGAGGAGAGCTATAACGTCTGTCTCACTGCCTTATTCCTCCTAGCATTCTGCTCTGTCTTCCTCACTTACCTATGTTCTGACCAATCAGGCCAAGCAGTTTTCTTTATTAATTAACCAAAGAAAGCAACAGATAGACAGAAGACCCACCTACATCAGTGTGTGATTTCTTTCTGGGTCTCCCAACATTGGAGTCTGCTAGGAGCAAAGAGTGGTGTGTTTAAATAGAGTTCTCTTGCCTTGTCTACCATTTATGAAACTGCTGATCCTGGACTAGCCAAGGGTCAGACCTTCAACATGTCCATCTTCTTTGGAAGTGTCTCTTCTTTGTATAGCAACAGCATCTACTACACACACTCTGCTTTCCAAGCCTTAGGGCTATGCAGCTGCTCCCATGTTCCACCTTTTCCAGAGTTTATGTTTCGGGCTCTGCCTACTTACCAAGTTGATGAGAGGCCCCTGAACACATTGAAGACTAGGGAAGGGGACCAAAGAGAGGACTGAGATCTGAGCAGGAGGCTCAGGCTCTGTGTTTTCATAAGTCAACCCTCAGTGAACATTCAGTGGGAGGAAGGGAGCTATGGAAAACAAGCGTTAGAATGGGTCTGAGTTTCAGCTTTCCATCCTGCCGGTAGTGAAATGCATGGCAGAAAGGTACCTCTAGAAGTCAAACTTCTGCCGACCTTGGGTGACAGTAACAGTTCCATACACTTACATGGAGGGCTGTATCTAGAAACCACCAATCCCCTTAGCACCCTAATCAGATGCCAACCTGAAATGATCAGAATGTCCATATCTGCTTTCCCATTTTCTGTAATAGTGCCTATAGCTATCTCCCAATCAAGGGCTATAGCAGGGTGTCTCCAGGCTCCCTGACTTACTCCTTGTTCTCATGACACCAGAGTAGCAAAGGTCAACCACTTGGTTCCTTCTCATGATGGCACCTAGCCACTCTGATTGGGGAAGGGCACAATGAATATCCTGTGTGATGCCAACGTATCATGAAGCAGTCACTATCTCACTAAATTCCCCAGCGTGATGCCAGCCTTGCAAGAAGAGTGGGTTTGTCCTACGAGTAGGTCTACCAGTCACTCTTCCCCAAGCCCACCTGGTACGCTTTGGCTGAATCATCTGCTTTCTAAATAGGACTTCTTGAGTCCTCTGGAATAGCTGAGAAAGGGGACCTGAAATACATTCAATAGATAATTTGGGGTGACTTTAAGAAAAGTCATCTTGAGTGGATTTCTGTCACTGCTAGGTAACAATGGGGAAGATAATGGTTGCCAGAGATACGTCTCAGAATGGGCAGGCGCTGGGCTAGAGGCGGGTCTCTCCCAGGCATTCTGAGGTGGGCTAGAGAGCAGGAGGCAGGCAGGCTGCAGAGCTCAGGCGGCCTCTCGGGCAGCAGAGGTGGCAGAGCCCAGCCAGTCACCTCCAGGCCAGACCACCGAAGCCTAGTGAAGAAAACTGAATGTCCAGTTGATTGGATTTCAGTACTATGTCATAACAGACAGATAATCGTCCACTTGATCATCAAGATGGAAAACTCAGATTCTAGCGATCAAGGAAATGACCAATCTGCAGCACAGCACAGAAGGCAAGGGGATCGCTTGGATCGGGAAGAAGCTTTCTATGGATTTGTCAATAATCTGAGCGGAGAAGACTATCGACTTCTGAGAGACAACAATTTGCTAGGCACCCCAGTTCAAAGTACTGGGGACGAGCTGTTTAGAATACTACAGCAAATTAAAGAGGGGCCGCTGCTGCCGCCACCTCCGAGCTCAGAAGAAAATAGATACTCTTCAGATGACGAGTCCAATGGTAACTCCATAATAACTTGCCTTAGCTCTGTCAGACAGACTGGCAATACAACAAGAAGTGGTCAGAGAGGTAATCAGTCCAGGAGGGCAGTGAGCCACACTAATCCAAACAGTGGTGATTTCAGATTCAGTTCAGAGACAAATGTTAACCTTAATGTTGGAAGCCAAAACTCAGAGAATGAAAATGAACCATCTGCTACATTTCTTAGTGTAGAAAACATGGATCGCAGCATCCATGGGCATATGGAAAATTCAGCATCTGAGACATCATCCGCCGGAACACCTAGGTCAGAACACAGTTCTGCTGAAGTATTAACAGATGTGCCATCCACCAGAGGTCGGAGGAGGGCAAGAAGCCTGAAACCACAACACCAGCGAAGAACCACAGCCAGAGCTGAAAGAAGTAGTTCTTCTCTGCCACCAGCAAATGAAATTCCACGAAGATCTCATCATAGCATCTCATCTCAGACTTTTGAGCTGCCTTTGGTAAACGAGATCGAGGGAAGTTCTAGAGCCCCTCACCAGATAACTAGCCCTGAGTTGCTAGGTAGAGGTCGTTTTGTGGCTTCTGGGTCAAGAAATTCTGCTGCTCAAGGGACAAGCTCTTCAGACACAGATGCCAATGGTGAAGCTGGAGGATCTAGTCAAAGACCTCCAACCAGAGACCTTCAAGTCAGAAGAGTTCTGCTGGCAGAGGACCGGCAGAGAGATAGCATAGCTAGCAAAACTTGGTCAAGGTCTCAGATCCCAAACAACACGGTCACTTATGAAAGTGAACCTGGAGGTTTTCTAGGCACATTCTGAACGTGCAGCTGGGACAACCTCTATGAGTACTCACAGCTTTTCCACTCTTTCAATCTTCAATACTGGATCAAGGTAAACTACATCTCCTCCAATTCAACCAGGTTCAGGCAGAGAACAACACCTTTTGGTGAGCTTGCATGGAGTGGTAACAACTCTGCTTCCATCCCCAGCTACAACCCTGGCCCCATTTCCATTGATGAATATTCAGAAAGTATCTCACAGATGTTTCAAGGAGGTGTTGAAGCAACCCAACTTTACCCCTTTAATGACAACCACCTAATGAGAAGACCCACCAATGTCCAGATTAATAACTTGGCAACGAGAAGTTTTGCTGAAAACGATGCATTGAAGACATGCACTGTTTGCATGACTCAATATACAGAAGGCGACAGAATTTGTGAGCTACCTTGCTCCCATGAGTACCATGCCCCCTGCATCGAACGCTGGTTTTGGGAGCATAACACCTGTCCCGTTTGTCGCACTGTAGTCTTAACTTCCTGGAGCAGACGAAGGGTTATATAATGAGGACAGAACTCTCGAAGCTGTGTTGCTAAAATAGTGACCGGCAAATGAAAATTGCTTCCTTTATCTCCATGTTTTGCATGGCGCTTTAATATAAAGTCACAACCTGAATTGAGTCATTGCTTTCTGAGAGAATCGTGTCTTTTTTGTAGTTTCTCTTTCAGGATAGAAAGAATATTTCAGACGCTACGTGCATGTGGACACTTTTGAATAGCACTCCTATCTCTTGAGTTCTGTAGGATGAATACAAGTATTTTTAGTGGGAGTTGCTTTTTTATTTGACCAAGTCCATGACTATTACATATTACTAGTGTTGCAGACATTAAAGATAAGGTTGTTCGTATAGGTGTCAGGTGTCCAAAGTTTTCTCTCTCAACCTTTGTAACAGGCAGAGAGCACACGTGTGAGGGTGTCTGCTTTTCCCCTCCAGTACAGTTCTCTATGTTTATGATCAATAACAGTGTTGTCATTGAGTTACCTAGTATATGGTACTTTTCAGAAAACTGTTTTGAAATGTACATTGCTGTATCATGCTTAACTTGGCAAGGTCTGAGGAAAGAGTATCTCAAAGTCCCAGTTTAAGCAAATAAAAACAGCTGTGATCTAAAAGAAAAACAGAAAACTTACCTTGATACTTAGATCCATTGTATAAGGTAAGATCATTGGTTTCAGTGTCTGAACGTACATAAGCTGTTTCCACCAATGCCTGTATAGCAGTGTTGGGAAAAAACAGAATTTATATTAAGAATTCCAGGAGGCCAAGCTGTTTCTGGCTCATGGATACATCATGGAAAAACATTGTTCCTCTTTTCAGACCAAACTTTCTAGTTACTCATGAAGATTAATTAGACATGGGACCTTTGTTGTATTACTTCAATCCTTTTTCCATTTCCCACTTTAAGTCTCTGCAAAATGTTTTTCTCAATGTTCTCTATGCATATTTGGAGGAACAATTAGGCTGAGAGTATTCCTGAGGTAAAGCCATTATAGCTGCTGCCTCCTTCTGAGCCTGACATTTCTCTTTCCAGGAAAGCATCCTCATTAATGGTTCCCTGAGAATTCTTTCTTTCTTTCTTTCTTTCTTTCTTTCTCTTTCTTTCTTTCTCTTTCTTTCTTTCTCTTTATTTCTTAAAAATTTCAACATCCTTCCTTCCTTCTATTTCCTTCTTACTCCCCTTATTTCCCTTCCCCCTCCCTCTCCAGTCCTAAGAGAAATCAGGCTTCCCTGCCTAGTAGGAAGTCCAAGGCCCTCCCCCATCCACCCAGGTCTAGTAATGTGTACATCCAAACAGACTAGGTGCCCAAAAAGCTAGTACATGCAGTAGAATGAAAACCCAGTGCCTTTATCATTATCTTCTCAGCCTTCATTGACAGCCATATTCAGAGAGTCTGGTGTGATCACATGCTTATTCAGTCCCAGTCCAGCTGGCCTTGGTGAGCTCCCATTAGATCAGTCACACCATTTCAGTGGGTGGATGCACAACTTGCGGTCCTGACTTTCTTGTTCACGTTGTCCCTCCTTCTGTTCTTCATCTGAACCTGGGGTGGTCAGTCCAGTGCTCCAATGTGGGTCTCTGTCTCTATCCCCGTCAATCGCTGAATGAAGGTTCTATGGTGATATGCAAGATATTCATCAGTGTGGCTATGAAAGAAGACCAGTTCAGGCACCCTCCCCTCTGCTGCTCAAAGACCTCCCTGGGGACATCTCCTTGGACATCTGGGAATCCCTCTAGAGCCAAGTCTCTTGCCAACCCTAAAATGGCTCCCTTAATTAAGATATCTACTTCCCTGATCTCATATCCACCCTACCTCCATCTCAACCATCTCATTCCCCCAATCTCTCCCCAATCCTCCCCTTCTCCCATCTCTCTCCCCATCTCCCCTTCCCCTCAACTCACCCCTACCCCTGAGCTCCCAACTTTTGCCTGGCAATCTTGTCTAATTCCATTATCCAGGAGGATAATTAAATGTTTTTCTTTTGGTTCACCTTCTTATTTAGCTTCTCTAGGATCATGAATAATAGGCTCAAAGGATTTTATTTATGGCTAGAATCCACTTATGAGTGAGTACATGCCATATTCATTTTTTGGGTATGAGTTATCTCACTCAGTAAAGTGTTTTCCATTTCCATCCATTTGCATGCAAAATTCAAGATGCCATTTATTTTTACTGCTGAGTAAAACTCTAAAGTGTATATGTGCCCCACCTTCTTTATCCATTCTACTATTCAGGGGCACCTAGGTTGTTTCCTGTTCTGGCTCTAACAAATAGTGCTACTATGAACATAGTTGAACAAATGCTGTTGTAGTATGATTGTGAATCTCTTGAGTATATTCTCAAGAGTGAAATTGCTGGGTCTTGAGGTAGGTTGACTGCCAGTATCCTGAGAAACCGCCACACTAATTTCCAAAGTGATTGAACAAGTTTGCATTCCTACCAACAATGGATGAGCGTTCCCTTTACTCCACATCCTCTCCAGCATAGGCTATCATTGGTGTTTTTGATTTCAGCTATTCTGACCGGTATAAGATGGTGTCTCAAAGTTGTTTTGATTTGCATTTTCCTGAGTGCTAAGGAGGTTGAGCATGACCTTAAGTGTCTTTTGGCCATTTGAACTTCTTCTGTTGAGAATTCTCTGTTCAGTTCAGTACCCCATTTTTTAATTGGGTTAATTTGAGTTTTCATGTCTAGTTTCTTGAGTTCTTTATATATTTTGGAGATCAGACCTTTGTCTGATGCAAGGTTGGTGAGGATCTTTTCCATTCAGTACGTTGCCATTTTGTCTTAATGACAGTGTCCTTTGCATTAAAGAAGCTTCTCAGTTTAGGAGGTCCCATTTATTCATTGTTGTTCTTATTGTCTGTGCTACTGGGATTATATGTAGGATGTTTTCTCCTGTGGCCATATGTTGTAGACTACTTCCCACTTTCTATTCTATCAGATTCAGTGTGATCAGATTAATATTGAGGTCTTTAATCCATTTAGACTTGAGTTTTGTGCATGGTGATAGATATGGTTCTATTTTCATTCTTCTACAGGCTGACATCCAGTTATGCCAGCACCATTTGTTAAAGATACTTTCTTTCTTCCATTGTATACTTTAGCTCCTTTGTCAAAAATCAGGTGTTCATAGGTTTGTGAATTAATATCTGGGTCTTTGATTCAATTCCATTGGTAAACATCTCTGTTTTTGTGCCAATACCAAGCAATTTTCATCACTGTAGCTCTGTAATAGAGTTTGAAATCAGGGGTGGTAATGCCTCTAGAAGTACTTTTATTATATAGGAGTGTTTTGGCTATTCTGGGTTTGTTTTTCTTATTTCTTATATATTGAAACATTTGGTGAATCAGATGATTTTCTATTATTAGTATTATTAGTATTATTATTTTCTTACTTAAAAAATACCAATCCAAATTCTTACTCCCTCCCCTTTGCCCACTCCCTCCACACACCCTCCCACTACCCCCTCCAATTGTAAAAAAGGACAAGGCACCCTGCCCTGTGGCAAGTCCAAGGTCTTCCCTACTACATCTAGGTTGAAAAAGGTATACATCCAAAGAAAATAGGGTCCCCAAAAGCCAGCACATACAGTAGAGACAAATCCCAGTGCCACTGTCAGTCGCTCCTCAGTTTGGCCCAACTGTCTCCCACATTCAGAGGGACTGGTTTTATCCCATGCTCGTTCACTCCCAGTCCAGTTGATATTGGTGAGCTCCCTTTAGCTCAGGAAAACTGTCTCAGTGGGTGAATCCCTCATACATATTCTCACTCCTTTCACTCATCAACTGGACCTTCGGAGCTCAGTCCAGTCCTCCAATGTGGTTCCCTGCCTCTATTTCCATCTGTTGTTAGAAAAAAGCTTCTGATGATTATCTTAAATATCACCAGATGTTTCTTTTACAATACAGCTTTTATTATGTTTTTTTTAATGTTAGAATCTGTTGATTCTAGTGGCCTAAATGGCTGTCATGCACATATGGTGAAGAGTGAATTATTGATCTATTAGCATTCTTAGAATGGTAATGCAGGTGTTGGGGGCATATTGGACACTTTATCAGGTACTTCTGTAGTGAACTCTGCAGGTAAGGGTCTCAGATGATAGCAACCAAACTCAGTAGATCTGTGACCCACAATTTTTTCTCTCATTTCCAGTAGTATTATACAGTATACAGGTGACCAACAAAAATGATGCTGTCCTCTTGTGATAAATTCAGAGACCTTCTAAGTATATTTTTGCCCCTGACTCAGATTTGTCCACAGGGTAAGCAGCTGAACTTTATAGTACTTAATAGAGTCATAGAGATATTAATAATTCCTGTTGTCCCTGTCCATGAGAATGACACTATAGCTTCAATTTTTCCTTGTCTAATGCACAGTTTGACATATGCTGAAAAAGGTGCTCCAGGGGATCATCAGAGTACAGGTACTACATATTTGGTGATAGAGAAGTCATAGCCAGGGCACCATCCAGTCAACA